TATTATTAATCGAAGTGAAGATGATTATCTGAAAATTAGCCCATCTATCAACTGTGTATATGTACGTTGGGAAGTGCATCTCACCATAGTATCGCTCTGAGTGATTTTTTGATCTTCACAATGTTAGTTCTTTTTCATGTGTCTATTGATGTTCTTACATACAGGAAGTAGAAATTAGATAGGTAGATGGATCCAATATCCTATACATCGTAATCTACGTTAGTTTGCGATCACTTATACTCCCTATGATTTTATTTTAAAATTATGTACTGCTCGTTGTTAGAGGTTATTGAAAATATTTCATACAGCACTTTACTACCTGATACCATGAAGATAAAATTTAGTGTCGGAAGCAGGCAATCGGAGGGAGGCAGAGTAAAACAAGAGAAAACAGAACAGTGAGAGGAGGTAATATGAATATATGGAAGGCAGAGAGGACAGAAGAAAGCAAACAGAGTAATAGTAAGCAAGAGTAGAAGAGATGTAGAAAGAGAATTATGATGATGAAGAGTGAGAGAAAGGAATCCAGAAGTGGCAAATGGAGATACAAAAAGAGAAAACGAAGTGGTGGGAAAAGGAGGAGAGGAGGAGAGAGACCGAGAGACAGAGGAAGACAAAAGGAAGCAGAGAGATAAGATGAGATGAGGAGGGAATAGATAGTTAGATAGACCCAGGTCAGAAAAGTACGATCGTAAACGGTCCTATACGACGAAATACGTCTAGAAACGGTCATCGTATATGATCGTCATATACGATGAACGTATACGGTGCCATACGTTCAAATACGATCAACGTATACGTTGAAAATAAACGACTACCGTGCACGAGTGTAGTGTACACCTGTATGTGGTCGTAAGTTGAGTTGCATGTGTCGACCATACCCAGGTCGAAAAATCACATAGTAAGATCAGTGATGAATTCTTGTATGATCCTATCCGATGCTACTCAAAAATCGTATATGTTCATACAAGCTGACACAAAAAATCATATGAAAAATTGTCGTCTCAGAAATCTGATGTCAATTCTTCTAGCAAGTTTCTTAGATACTCCAACACTAAAATCTTGTATGATCATAAAAAAATCGTACAGTAAGGTTTTAACTGATTTCTTTAGAAACATACATTCTCGTCATGTTTCACCTTCCCTGGCAACTATAGTTCAACTTAACTTCACATAGCCCAGATCTTTTTACTTACTGAACCTAATGCAGAGGTGCCTACACTAACAGTTATCATTACATAATAAAATTCATAGCATAATAGTCACAAAAACTCATGCATAAAAAAGTTTACTCTCTATACCGTTAACAAAGAGAAATAAGAAATAAAAGTTAAGATTTTCTACATTACCAATATAGAAAAAACAAAAAACTAAAGAATATGATCTTCCGTATTATTAATATGGAAAAGTAAGAAAAAAAAATGGAACTTTTTGTACTACTAATATAGAAAAATAAGAAAGAAAAATTAGCATTTTCTATATTATTATTATAGACGAGTAAGACACAAAACTAACTGTTTCTGTATCATCAATATAGAAAAATAAGAAATACAAATTAAGATTTTCTATACTATTAATATAAAAAAATTGAAAAATAAAAACTATTTTCTATATCAGCAATATACAAAAATGAGAAATAAAACAAATAGTTATTTTGTTACCAATGTAGAATAATAAGATGTAAAAATCAGCATTTTCTATATTACTACTAAAGACAAATAAGACACAAAACTAACTGTTTCTATGTCATCAATATGGAAGAATAAGAAATAAAAATTAAGATTTTCTATATTACCAATATAGAAAAATAAAAAATAGGATTTTCTATATATCCAATATAGAAATATAAGAAATAAAACTTAAGATTTCTCATATCAGTAATGTAGAAAAATAAGAGGTAAGAAGTTAGCATTTTTTATATTATTGTTATCGACAAATAAGACAAACAATATCTGTTTCTATATCTGTTCATACCAAGAGAAAACAGATGTCGCCTGTTTAAAAAAATGTAATTTTTAACAGTATCAGACACATTTATTTCTTTACAAATTTTTTTTTCTTACACTCAATTGCAAGGAATAAAACAAATATACCTCTTATTTAAAACTATGTACGACGTTTTTTTCTTCGATCAAGTATGTATTTGAACACAGAGATACTACTCTTCAGTAATAGTATCTGTAATGGTAGCAGACATAGCCTGTTTATTTTGTATGCATGTATGTATATCTGCATTCTTTTTCTATTAACTACTCAATTCTTGACATAAGATAGGTATCTCGTATTTGATATATATGAGCTTTGTCTTACATAAAGTAGTCAGTTTATAGCAGTAAAAAGATGAATACTTCTTACTTTATACAGTCTGTTTTCATTTCATCTAATATTTAGCTATACGGATAGAGAGGCATTCAGATAGTACTATACTGTATAGTCGTTATTGTCAATGAGTAATTCGTTCATGAAGTAGAGAGATATTCCTTATTCAATAGAAATTAGTTAGATGATATTAAATCTTCAGTTTTGAATGAGTCTGAAATCGGTTTTTTATCAATATATTTATTTTTTAATGTTGATTCTAGCATTACTATAGTATATTATACATTAGATTATATCTAATACTAATATTTCGATTATATAAATAATTTACTATTTGATGAATTTTCTTTTTTATTTCTAGATTAGATGAATATTATTTTTTGTTTTTAGACTAGGTAAATTTTATTTTGGTATTTTTAGATTAAATAAACTTTATTTTTTATTTTTAGATCAGATAAATCTTCTTTTATTATATTTAGATTAAATGAGTTTTATTCTTACATTGGATAAATTTTAACTTTTATTTTTTAGATTAAATAAATTTATTTTTTATTTTTAGATTAGATAAATTTTCAATTTTATTTTTTAGATTGAATAAATTTTATTCTTTAGATTAAATGAATTTTATTTTTTTGTTTTTAGATTAGATAAATTTTAACTTTTATTCTTTAGATTAAGGGGCCCCCTCACAAACGAATCTTTTTATTTTTCGATAGAAGTCAACCAAAATTTCAGAGAATATTAGTCTTGACTAGAATAGATTATGGTCAAAATATCTCCCCAAATCTGCAAGGCGTTCACGAGTTATAGTCAATTCATTGGTTAAAAATAGCCTTGACGCGGGCAAAGTTTTCAAAGTAGAGATTTGAGCTAAGCATGTCGGGCTGGTTTTTAAATTGTAGAGTACACCTAGGGCTAGGTCCTATCTGAGCCCGATTTTTGAATTTCCCTTTCTTTGCTGTAAGAAAAAACTTGTTTCAAAAATTCTGAAATTTGTGGCTAAAAAATTGCTAATAAGAATCAAAGATCTAAGCTTTTTTATTCAAACAAAGGAGAAATTCAAAAATCGGGCTCTGATAGGACCTAGCCCTAAGTATCTGCTATACAACAAAAAAAACATTATCACTTTTATATCGAGTAATTATTGACTAAGATTTGCCCGCGTAAACGATGTAGTCGAAAAAAGTGATTTTGAGAAAAACGAAAAACAATGTTTTTGATCGAGTATTCGTAATAAATCTGCTTATGCTACTTGATATTTTCACACTATTCGTCAAGCTTTATTAGGTGGCGTATAGGCGAACATATCATAAGGTTCTTAGCAGTACATATCATGCCAAAGTTGTGGTCATGGTTATTTATACATAGATGTCACTTCAAGTCGAACATATTCTTTTCAATTTTCTAATTAGTTCAAGGGATAACATTTCATTTTGGAAATCTTTGACTACTAAGGATGCTTGTATGTATTTTTCTACACAGTTTGACAACTGAAATGGGAATTGCTTTTGCTAAAGGTCTCGAATGAAAATTTATTTGGTGAGTTTTCAACTAATGACATATCTGAAGATAGAAGATGAATTTTTATTGGATTTTATGTATTAATTTACATTGACAATCATTTCAATTGCTTATTTTCAGATATATTTTACTACTACATAGTAAATTTGAAATGCCTGTTAGAAAAGATCATGAATCCCATAAGAAGAGCAAGACGGAAGCTTGTCGTAAAGCTCGATTATCTAAAGACAAGCACTTACATTCGTCTACTTCAGCTTCTTCATCAACATTGTCGTCATCTGAATTATCCAAAAGTATTGAAGAAAGCTTCATTAGTTCATTATATTTGACAACAGCTTCATCATCCACTAACACCACATTACACAATTTATTTACTTCAGAACAAAAAATAATTTCGTATGAACATAGAAAAAATAATGCAATAGTTGACAATGATGAAATGGATTTTTATCAAGTTATTCACAACAGCTTTTAATTAGAATTGATGAGAAATACCATATGTATGGAATGTAAAGAATTATAGAATGGAAAAATGCATATTAGTAAGAGAGAAGGTATGTATAGATGAAATTGGTGTTGGTAGTAGTCTTTTTCGACTTGTTTATAGAAAAATATTTTGTACTTTGTTCTTAAAAAAATCAAAAAGCTCGATTATCAGAAAAATCATTCTGTCTACAGAAGAAAATTAAATCTGAAGCAATTCTAAAAATGTTTTTTAGCCGATCTAATCTCTTTATTCAGTTTTGCAATTCTATAGGCTTTCTATTATATAAATTTCTATGTAACTTATTTTCATTTTCGTCTTTTTGCATCTAGGTTTATATTGTTCTTTGCAATTTATTTGTGAAAAATGCGCAAATACAATACAAATTAACACATCTAAGACGGTTCCACGTACAAGACATCGTGATATCAATATACGTGTTCAATTAGGTATGTCAATATTTGATTCAATCAGAGAAAATAACTTATCTAGTTCTGTTCAGTCCTGATGCTATTATAGCTTTTTTCTAGGTGGTCATTTAGCAGGAATCGGTCGTGCTGGTATAGCAAAAGTATTTGGGGCGATGAATATATCTCCACCACTACAGGAAGATCATTATGAAGAGATCGCAAAGACAATGTTGTTACCATGCATAAAAAAATTCCAAAATGAATCTATGCAAGCTGCTATTTGTAAGTATTTTATAAAAAAAATTACGTGTTTTCGTTTCATTTTATGGTTATTACCTTTTAGATGAAGCAGTTGACGAGAACGATGGTGATCCAACAGCCTTAACAGTTAGTGGAGATGGAACGTGGCAAAGACGTGGCTTTAAGAGTATACACGGAGAGGCTGCTATTTTATTATGTAACAGAACACCAAAAGTACTCGATGTTGAACGTTTATCAAAAAAATGTTTGCTATGCACTGGTGCATTGAGTATTAAAAATAAAAATCCAGATTTATATGATGAAATTATTTATAATCATGAATGTGAATCAAATTATGATGGTTCATCTGGTAAGTTAAGATTTTTCTTATTATTAAACTAGGAGATTAAGTCTATGCCGAACTTTTTTCTAGGAGGTATGGAATCACAAGGTATTCATGATTTATTTCAACGTTCCTTGTCGAAATATGGCGTACAGTACGCTCGGTATGTACATCCATAAAAATACTAAGCAGAATATATTTTATTGTTTTTTTGATATTACAGCTATATTGGGGATGGAGACTCGAAAGTCATGTCACATCTCATTCAAAATCCTCCATATCTACATTGTAAAATAGAAAAGGTCGAAGACATCAACCATTGGTCAAAGAAAATGCTGTATCGGTTGGAAAAGTTCACTCAAGACTTGAGGGAAACAATGTTAGATCCAGAGAAAAAACGAAAAGGAATTAGTGGTGTTAATCGTTTAACCAAGGATAAGTAGTAAAGAACTATTCACAACTTCTACTACTATCAACATCACTAGTCAAACTGTTCCTATTCAAACTAATTCTAATCTATTACTTTTTTCGATTCTAGAATCAACAGGATACGAAAAGAGAAAAATTCCACTCTAGCCTAGTTGAGATGAAACTTGACAGCCTGGCGTAGATACAAATAATTTATTACACCCCTAATAGACTTAACCAAACATGCAACTCTAAGGATTATGTATATGCCTATAAAATAGATTTTTTTCATAAATACATAATATTTTTTATTGTTTTTCTATAGAAATGATGATAAAGTTCAAGTTTTATTACGCAAAAGTGATCAATGAATATAAAAATGATTTGGAGATGATGCATAAACGTACATGGGCAATTTATAAACATAAAGTAAGAGAATATACTATAATACAAAGAGACGTTGTTCACTAAGATCATACTAATAACTTTTTAGATATCAACAAATGAGGAACCCGATCATGAGTGGTGTGGAGATTGGTGTAAATATAAAAAATCGTTATTGACAGGTATATGCAAAATGCCTTTAACGTTTGTTTTTCTTTTTTATTCATATAACTTGTTCTAGTTGTTTTTAAATATTTGTGTTTACTTGAAAACAGGCACAACATATGACCACCAGAAACATTCTTTACCAAAATATGTCATGGAAGCTATTAAGTCTGTATTTGATGATCTCGCTTCGAGTAAGTGCCTTCTATTCATAATAATGTTTACTCTTTTTTTATGATGATTTTTAAGAAGAAACTTTACAACATGTGCTGAATGGATTGAGCCAAAATCCCAATGAATCATTTCATTCGTTCTTATGGAGCATGGCTCCTAAGAACAGATTTTGCAGTGGAACTACTATTGATAGTAAGTAAAAGATAGAATATTTCGATTGATATGATAATTCATCCGATATGTATACTTCTTTCTAGTCTGTCTTGGATCGGCTGTTATGATATATAATGATGGTTACTTATCTATTGGCGAAATATTACATGAACTTCTAGGTATTTCTTAGATTATTTCTCGTTTCTGTTGAAAGTTTCTAATTGTGGACTTTTCTTTCATAGGTGAAATGGGTCATTTTTCTTTTATTGAATTTGATCGTATGAATAAACAACGGTTAAAGAAAGAAGCACAATGGAGGAAGAGAAGAGGACAACCCGCAGGTGGTGGTGGAGATAGCAACAATGATGAAGATGACGATACGAATGATGATACAATTGAAGAATATCACCTGGCGCCTTTTGAAGTGCTATTGTTATCTTGTTGTTGTATATAAAAATATTTTTTGCAAAAATTAGACTGATAAGTTTCACTTTTTTTGTGTTTGCACATTTATCGTTGTTAGTGTTGGAAACTACTGAGAGTAAATTAGAATCTTTGTTTGTGAGGGTACATTAGAAAGAAAGTAGGTTTTCACTGGAAAAATAGTTTCGATATAATACATAGGAAGGGAAAATGCGTTGCATACTTGTATAAATATGCACAATCAATTCAACAGCATCGAAGCCTAAATGAACTTGCTAGCTTGAAGTCCAATTCAAGCACCATCAGAATATGTTTAAATTTTGAAATCAAGTTTTTCTCGAAAAATCGACTTTTCTAAGCGGAGCGGGAAGCTTTTAAGTGTTAGCAGGCTCTTAATGATTAATAAAACAACCTTTTATTCAATGTTGATGCAAATGGCAAAGTATCTCTCCAAAACTGAAAAACTTCAAAAACAAAATTGCGAAAATTTCTCGAAAAACATGATACTAGGCTCAACTTTTTATCGATAAGTCCGTCAAAATCCGTTCGTTTTTCGAAAACCCATATATTTTTTCTGAAAGAGGAGACTTCGGTGCATCCTCCCATGGTAAAAACTCAATTTCGATTTTTTTTCGAAAAATCGACTTTTCTGAGGGGGCCCCCTTAAATAAATTTATTTTTTATTTTTTAGATTATTAAAAGGATAAATAAAATCATTAAGTATCAATGTAATGGAATGGGGATGTCCAATTTGGCTGGAGGTTCAAGTTCTTATTTCTCATGCAGCTTTGATGATATGTCGAAACAGTACGATGATATATCATCAAAGCTGCATGAGAAATAAGAGATGGAAGCTCCAGTCAGACTGGACACCCCAAAGATTAATTTTTCCATCTTTGGACAGTTGGAAGGGGGAAGGGTAGGTAGCAAAATTTTGAATAGAATACGATGACAATCCACATAGTATACGACTGTGTACGATCGTTTACGGTGGTCGTATATACGTCGTAGTTCGTCGTATACGACACGACAATATACGGTCGTAAATCTGGCGTCAAGTAATACGGCGAAATACGGTCGTATACGATCGTAATTTACACCGTATACGCCTGTACACGATCGGATACGACGTCGTATACGATAGTTTACGACTGTCGTAATGCTCGTCCTGAGGAGGTAGACATAGAGCAAGAGAGAACGGAGCAAAGACAAAGAGCAAGATAGAGGAACAGAGAAATAAAAGAGAGACCTGGAAGATAGGCGAAGATGCAAAGAAACGTGAAGATGAAGAGCAGGAGGGACCGAAAAGGAAGAGT